CATGAGAAAAAATCGTACTCTATCTTTAAGCAATTAACTATTCTAACCAAATCATATTTTTAAGAGAAAATGGATACAGTGATATATATATATATATATATATATATATATATATATATATATATATATATATATATATATATATAATATATATATATATGTATATATAGTATTAGTAATATATATATATATATATATATATATATATATATATATAATATATATATATATATATATATATATATATATATATATGTATATATATGTATATATATATAGTATATATATATTATATATATATATATATATATATATATAGTATATATATATATATATATATATATAATATATATATATATATATATATATAGTATATATATATATATCACAAATACACATATGTGTCTATATATATATATATATATATATATATATAATATATATATATATATATATATATATATTATGTGTGTGTGTATGTGTTCATATGTACACACACACACACACACACACACACACACACACACACACACACACACACACACACACACACACACACGCGGCTTTTCAGCGTTTTATTCATGAGCGTCACATATTCACACGAGTACTTAAAAATCTTTTAAGAATCTATTGCCATATGTCAATAAGTGTCTTAACATATACATCACATTAAGGTCCCTGGCACACGCACGAAAAAAAATCAGCTTAAGGTAATATTCTGGTCACTACACCGCTACGTTAAATCCGAGCCCCATGCCTTCTATTCAAATAAAAAGATCACCTTATCTCATCTTATCACTAACCTGCTCCGTAAGCTAGAAGGCAGGACGTCAAGCAGAGCAGGGACTTCATCTTCACGCGCAAGGACGTCACCGTGCTTGAGTTCAGAGCCGGGAGGGCGCCGCGGAAAGTGTCGATCGCATGACAGAACGAGGCAGGCTGCATGACCTTCCCTCCCGCGTGCTCTCGTTCTCGGCTTCTGCGCATGGCATTCAGGCAATCGCGGAGGCCAGGGTGGAACTCACTGGGACTTCAGTTTTCTCTCATTCACACATAATTCACACAGACAAACATTGCATGCTGTTGTTATTGAGTATTTGTGGGAACTCTTAAGGTTTTCTATCAGTGTTGTGTATGCCGTGGAAATTTTCGGTTTCCACGAACACAGAATATCGTGAGGGAGGGGTGTGCAATATATAATGGTCCCATTACAGTTTTATTTTCTCTCTCTCTCCCCCTCTCAGTTTCTTTCTCTATCTGATCTGTTGTTTCCTATTCATGAATTGTAATACAGAGCAGAGAATACAACGTCAGAACAGGAGAGAGAGCGGGGGGAGGGGTGGACAGAGAGAGGAATAGGGAGAGAGAGAGAGAGAGAGAGAGAGAGAGAGAGAGAGAGAGAGAGAGAGAGAGAGAGAGAGAGAGAGAGAGAGAGAGAGAGAGAGAGAGAGAGTATGCATTTCGTGGTATACAATGAAATTAGTACACATGTACCACATTCATGAAAATAAAACATAATCTATTAGAGGTGACCGCCCTGTGCTTTCTCAGAATATATTCCAATTTACCATTTTCATTTAAATTGTGTTATTAGCCAAAAGCTTGAGGTCGATATGAAATGGTATCGAAAGCATTTCAGTGTTTACACCCTTAAGACAAAATCCATTAGGTTTGTATCTTGCTATACAAACGTCTCGTGGCATCCTTTTTAAGGTTTAGCGCATGTAATGAAGGGAAAGAGACAGTCACAATGAGTGTATTTATGTGGGTGATAGAGAGAAGAGAGAGAGAGAGAGAGAGAGAGAGAGAGAGAGAGAGAGAGAGAGAGAGAGAGAGAGAGAGAGAATAATGAATGTGATCGACAGTTAGTAGGCACCAAATAATCCGCAACAGTAGATACAAGTTACTTATTGATTTATTCTAAACTATATACAGTTCATTTCGCTGGACGTAGCTATTGAAATGGCCGATCTCCAATGCAGTGGCTATTAGCATGAATTTGCCGAACCAAAATCAGGGTTTCGACGAGGGTTCTACAAAAGCCCCTGCAATGGCGCCCTTTACGTAGTTGTGGATTTTATTTGTCCCACTTCAAAGAAGTCCGTCCTATTTATTATCAGGATTTAATGAAAGGATTTTTTTAATGAGCAAATGCTGTGGTTAATTATATTGCCTTTACTGAACACATGGAAGTAACATTGGGGCGGGGGGTCAAGAACCTGAGGTATCAAAAGGAGGAATCGTACAAATTCGTGTTTGTGATACAGGCGGCCTCCGGGCGGTGTTCACGAAAATTCAAATAGTATTTAAACAGTCCGATATTCAAACCATAGGGCTGGACTCCATAAAGACTTACAGTGAGCTCAGAAATTATAAAAAAAACAATTATGAGGATCACAAGCACATAATTTTTAATTGTGGTTTACTAATATTAGTCAAATAAGTGAAGTGAAATGGGGAAAACAATAGAATTTTAGAAAGGGTATGAATGAGAATGAAGTGTTATTCATACATAATTTATTTTTAATTTTCTTCAATGAATCTTCCCAGACGTATGATTGTACACTTTTATATAACAATATTGCTTGCTAGCGTTCTAATCAACTGAGTGATTGTTCATTTTTCACTATTTGCTTTCAATTAGTAGAAAAACAACTCATGCAATGCGAAATGTAAATAAAAATATATGCCAATTATGGTGGGAATTCAAATTGTAATGAAATCAACCTAGGGGAAATCTGCCACACTGATCTAAAAATAGCCACACCGATCTAAAAATAATTAAAATGAATAGTTCAATCAGGGGAGTTAAACAGAAGGTTAAAAATACATAGAAGTGGCAGATCTCTAAATGAAAGACAATCAACAGCGGATAACCTAATAACCTAACCTGCACGCGGCTTTCCGAAAACCATTTTTTTAAAGCTACGATAGACTACGACATGATTGATTGATGAAATTGTAAAGTAAACTTGAACCCCGAATAAGCGTGAGTCATCAGGATAACGGGACCTTTAGCATTATTCTTTCTAGGTATGTTTTGCACAGCTCAATAGTAATACCGCGAACTTCGTGAGTTTCGAACTGCACGCTAGTCAAGGGTCGTTTTTGCTCAGATAATGTTTTATGATACACTTTCTTTCTGTTATATATTAGAATATGCATCTTTGAAGACAAGTAAAGCAAAAATAACGTTTTTTTTTTTTTTTTTGCTTGCCTTGTCTTCAAAGACAAGTAGAAAGTAGTGTGCTAAAATTACTAGTGCTGAGGGTTATTACAGCTTTTTTTGCGCGCCTAATTTGTAACTGCGCTCGTATCACTTGTCTATGCATTCCCCAATATCCCTAGTCTCTTAGGAACAATATTATGTGCACGAGAAAATATCTTGACTACGACGCAAATTTATAATACAAACAAAAACACTTCATCTATTACAATTACTTAGGAATAAGATAAAAACTAAAATCTGAATCTCATTTAACACCTTAAAAGTAAAAATTGTCAATATGTAGATTTTTAGAAAACGTATTCAAATAACCATTACGTCCCTCGCTAGCCTATGTTCTCCAAATAGTCAGGTATTGCATAGTCAAAGAGAGTGAAATCGTACTCATAGAGACGTCTCACTCCCGCCAGCAGATCGACAGGAAGACCTCTGAAATAATCATCACTAGTTCGACCTTCCTGCTTCTTGTTTACATTCATTTTCAAAGTCACGTTCATTTCCCTGATATCCAGTTCTTCTTTGAGGAACGCCAAGTCTTCTTCTATGGTTTCTAGTTTCATGATGTACTTGTATTTTGCGGTACAAGGCAGGCAGACGCTGTGGATGGGACGCCAGTGGCAGTTCATGGTGCTCAGTCCGCTTTTCTAAATACGTGTTACAAATAGGTCAATATTATTGGTTTCGCATGATTAGTTTGTTCTCTATATATAATAATAATGATAATAAATAATAATAATAATAATAATAATAATAATATAATATATTATTATTATTATTATTATTATTATTATTATTATTATTATCAATATTGGTGGTGGTGTTGGTGTTGCTGCTGTAATCATTGTAGGTCTTCAGAAAATAATGTGATGTGTGAAAGGAATGGAATTGCGTGAGTGTCTGTGCGTGCGTGGTTGTATTCCTTAAAGTGTAAGTTGCATTTTCTTCTAGGTAATTGCGAATATTTTATATTTATGTAAAACAAGAGATTGACGATTAATAATGCTACTGTTTAGTCCTTAAACACTCTGGAATAAGCATCAAAATTAGAATATTCAAACAAGCAAATTGAGAGCTAGAAATACCTGCCACAGGCCGGGCCACTCATGAGAAAAGGCCTGGGCGAAGCTAGACCGCAAATCTAACTGAACTGAACTGGAATGGTCATAGTAATGATAATGAAAACAATGATAACACATAATAATGATAATAAAATAGTGATAATAAAACCTAATAATAATAAAAATACGATGATGATGATGAAAGTGACATTACTACAAATAGGCATAATAATGGATATTATCATTTATTATTATCATAATAATGATGATTTCAGTGATCTATCATGGCTATAATCCACTCTTGGCCCGTGGACCAAATGTGGCCCTTGGGGTGACAAAAAATTAACATGTGATGTAAAAAAAAAAAACTACGATGCAGTTTGTGCGAAATGAAGTAAATGGTACAAGATGAATGCAAGTCTTTATTGCACATAATAGACCTCTTATGTTTAAAAACTAAAATAATCTTGTAGAAGCCCATGACTAAGACATAAATATGTATAGTTCTTTTATCGTTAGCGTTACTATTTAAAGTATAACGTAAAGTGAGGGTGTAATATCAGACAGTGTCCAGTTACTTAATCCAAGGAAGCCAGGTACGTGCCTTTGTTGGCTCTCAAGACAGTATATGAAATGAAAATTGTATAAAATTATATCAAAGTAGCATGAATATATATATGATAGATATAGATAGATAGATAGATAGACAACAGGAA